GAATTTCATAATCGATGGGCACAGATGGGCAAAGAAGCAATTGTTAGTGGTGATGTGGGACCCACTTGGATGGATTTTGTGTGTTTTCGCCAGGTAGTATGTGACATGGCAAAAATTTTATCCACGTCATTGCTTTTTTAAATTTTGCTCTCCATGTCATAAAAAAAAATATAAAAAATGCCACATAAGCAAGGTTAACGGCCAAAATTAACAGAAGGACTAACGGAGTGCATTTCGTATAGTTGAGGGATCAAAAAAAATGCAAAAAATTGTTAAGGGATCAAAAATGTTTATTTTTTAAAGTTAAGGGACCAAATTAAACATTTAACCAAAAGAAAAAGGGGGGGATTTGAGGATTAGAGGTTAAGAGGTTAAAATGTCATTTTCAAACTTATGACTTTGACTTTATATATATATATTTTTTATTATCTTACAAAACTCAGAGCTTTGTTGAAATTCAATTAGTATAGGTTGAGGTTGAATGCTCCTAGCACTCAACTCGATTCATTTACATGTTTTTCTCTTTGCAACACATTCAACTTGAAGTTGTTTGTAACTTGGAAGGAGTGAAAATAATAACCAAAGGGCATGAACGGAAAATGCCAAGTTTTCTAAAGATATAGAAAAATTAAAAAAATGATGGTGACATGTAACTACTAGCAAAGTCCTCTTTCTTCAAGGAACAAAATTCAAAAGAACAAAGCAAAAATGAATAGAGGTCCATTTGTTGGACTTTGTCAAATATGCACTTGACTCCTGGGAAAGATTACAAGAATGTGGTTTTTTGGGTCAGAAGATTTAATGGTTCTTGGAGGAACAATCAAATTTTTTTTTTTTTATCTTTAAAAAAATAAATAAATTGTCCTCCCTCACAAGAAGAGAAATAATAAAAAAATTGACCAAATTATCAAAGGTCCAACGGCAACAAGGCCCATTGAACCAAGAATTTTTTTGGAAGCAAAGAACAAACCGAAGCAAAGGGGAATACCAACCTGGACCCTATTTGGGTCCGGCCCTCTGTATTACGACCTGTCCGTTTGATGTCCATTCCAAACCCTGTTTCTCCTGGTTCTGGCATCATTCCAGAAAAACTTAGCGACCCCAGGAATTGGCCTCATGAATCATACTTAAAAAAAAAAGAAAAAAAGAAAAAAAAAGAAAACGATTTTATCAATTATAAGAATATAGTTTCCAAGATCATTACAAATCAACACCCAAATATATATACATACATAACACTTAGGAAAACCCTTAATTAATAAAAAGAACACTTAGGAACACCCTTTATCACCATCATCTACTACCTACTGCTCCTTGACAAATATTCTCGATTTCGTGTTGAAGTCTAAGGATCTCATTCTGTGCTCGAGCACTTTCCTGTGGATCATTTGAACTTAAAAGTCCAGCCCAATATGATATTTGCCTCTCCATGCTTTTAATCTGTGGATGCAGCAGGAACAATTTAATTAATCAGAACATGTTAATGTAATAAATTAAGAAGAAGTATATATGTATATTGCACAACACAGTAGGGTGACAAACCTTTCTGTGAGGCCATCTAGCCAGACCATCTCTGCGGCATATCTTCTTCACCACGGTAGGGCATAACCTCATCTTCTTCGCTGCCTCTTCAATAGGAAGATGAAAATAGTTTCCTATTTCCTTCAGTGTGATTTTTCCAGTCCTTTGTCGCTGTATTAAGGAAAATATTAGATAGTGAAACAAAATTAAAGCGTTTGATGTCTCGTTAAGGAAAGTGGCAACATTGTACCTGCTCGGATAGATTGGTCTTAGGGACCCTTAGTTGCTCATTATCATTGCCTGCTTTGTTGTTCCCTTGAAGTTCCTCTGCAAAAATAGAATCACCTCCATGAAAATTGTTCACATTTTTCAAACCGAACTCTAAAGAAATTAACCATTCCATACCTGAATTCGAGGAAGGTGGTGGGTTGAACTCTTCACAGTACTGATTTTCAGCCCAAACGAATCCAACACATAAGGCTTCGTAGAAGACTGAAAATGGATCACTTATAACAAAGAATCCTGCTTGGCTTCTCTCCAGACAGTATTGAACCAAAAATTGTTTCACTTCCTCCAGGCTTTTCTTACAAAAACTAACCCAAAAAAAAAAAAAAGGGATTAAATTCAGTTAAATAAAACTTACATTACTCTTACAAAAAATGAGCAAACTTACTCAAACATTTGATGGTGATAGCTTGGAGAAAGCGTCTCCATATTTAGTTGAACTTCGAGAACAGCATGAGAGATCATCCCCAATCTGCCATGTATTTCAAGGGTTGTAAATTCGTTGCCTGTATAAACAAAGTAACCAAATCAAAAAAAAAAAAAAATCGAACATTACTAAACCCAAATTATAACATTTTTTTTTTCTTTTTTTAACATTGAACATACCATTTGTATGAATTATTTCTCGGAGGACTTGGCAGCAACTACAACCAAAGGGGATCGGTGTTGGGGGCCATTCAGAAAGAAGTATAGAATCCTCATAATTTGAACTTCCTGCGTGAAAGTAATTAGTTTGATTTCCATGGCTTGATTCTACATGAATCTCGGAAGGTCCGGTTTGAGAATTTCCGGTATTGGGATCATTCTTCACATCCCAAATACCCCCATTCTCAAAAGGATCATTAGAACTCCCAATTCCAGTACCCTGTTGAGGAATTGAAGTGGGGTCCGGGAATGGTTCCTGAATTGACAAATCTTCAAGGGTAGGATTCCTATTGTCCAGGATACAGAAAATATCTTCGGAATTTTGGGCTTCAAAAGGGTCGTGATATGGAAGAACGGTTTGTGGATCCGCCATGAGATTAGCAGTAGAGAAGATGGAACTCTATTTTCTTAGGGTGGTGGTGGCAAGGGCAGACAACCGCCACCGGAGAGAGTAGCGGCACCGGTTGTCTCAAGCACCCACAAAAGTATGCAGGCGCTTGAGACAGAGGCAATTCTGATTGAGAGGCTTGTCTGGAGAAATTTTAAGGATTTTATATGGAGAAGAGGAAAGGCGCCAGAGGCAGTTAATGACCGTTGTGAGGAAGAGACGGTTGGTTTGGATACCGAAGAGATGCCTCCGAGTAATGATCAATGGGACTCAGTTGAGTCAGTTCCATGATAAGAATTTTAAACCAATTAAACGTCACCGTTTCATAAGAAGGATTAATCTAATGCATGAAAATTTTAAAACACTGTAAATTATATTAGAAAAGAAAAGTTTCATTACTAATATCTTAATAAGTTGAGTATATGAAGGGTACTTTACAATCCGACCTAAATAACACTTTTTTTTAAAATTTAAAATGAATATGGAGTTATGGACTTCGATTGCTTGGTTTAAAATGATAAGAATGATTTTAGAGTATAGTTATAGATACACACCTATTTAAAAGTTACATAAATTTATTAATATTGTCTTAAAAAATAACAATTTTGTTTATTTTAGTTACTAAAAATAATTTTTTTTATAGAAAAAACAATTTATTAAATAATTAATATGTTAAAATCAGCAACTTGTTTTAAGACATGATAAACCAA